TACTACTACTACTACTACTACTACTACTACTACTACTACTACTACTACTACTAGAAAGGCTTATAATAAAAAATATTAACAATAATAATAATAAAAGAAATGGTAAGAGAGTAAGTACCTGGAAGAGACTACACTATTTAGCAATGGTACTACAAAAGTGTCAGGACATGAAATTAGTCAATGGGAACTTTAGTGCAAAGATAGGAGACCTATGAATAGAAGAATAATAGTAGGGTCATGGGGACTGGGTAAAGAAAAAGAACGTGGTGAGCATCTCATAGACCAGTGCAGAGAAAATAAGTTCATGCTTTCGAACACCTCGTTTGAAACTCACCCAAGAAGGCGATACACTTTGAACAGCCCTAGATATATAACTACAGACCCTACAGACTTTATAAAGTAACTTTTTATTGTGAAAAGTGGTTTCTTCAGAGACAAGAGAATTTCGTGGAAGTAAAAAAAATCAAAAGAGGCAGTACTGAAAAAAACCCACATGGGCCACTCACTAATAAGAACAATTAGAAGAGGCAAATGCAGTTTCTGGGACACTTGAGTTGACATAAAGGCCTTGAACATCTTTCTCTCACTGGAAAAACATAAGGCAAACCAGACAGCGGGCAGACCCAGAACAACTTACTTGAAAAACCTGAACAGATGGGCGATGGGGAAAGACCATAATAATATAGTTTTCGAGAGCATCCAAGCAAAGACGTGTATGGCACAACATGATCATTGATCTGTTTCATATCTGGCATTTAATTATAGTGATGAATAGTATTAATAGTAGCAATAAAATAACATTAGCAATTGCAATAAAAACAGATAATGAAGAAACTAATAACAACAACAACAATAATTATAACTGCAGATTCAGTAGACAAAAACCAAAGACATCCAACATTAATTTTGCTAAAGAAATAATCGCATGTTGTGTCAGGAAGACAGAGTACAATGAGAGTTGGCACCACAAATCATGCATTATGCAACTAGCATTGTTGAACTGAGGATGCCTGTCCCAACTCTACATTTGCAGGTTAGCTTCTTTCTTTGAATAAAGAGAAGCACGTCAACACAATCAAGGTCATTAGTGTTGGGAAAAGTAAGACAGACTGACAGAAATGACAGAAAGATAGTGAAGAAATAGGACTTGCCAGTGGCACCCTCCAACTGCCTACTGGTTGAACTTCAATGGTGATACCCAGTACACAGATCTGTATATGGCCCTCAGAATCAAGTCTTGAAAGTTTTTTTAATGGAGCTTAGCCACACCACAGGCAAGGCCGGAACTCCACAGATACGAGTACATGTAATAAAAAACTTGGGACCGTCTGGTGGCATAGTGCCCTGGAAAATTATTTGGTTAAGGTATTCAAATTTCCATCTGATAACATTTTCAGTGGTCAAAAGTAAAATATAAGATCAAAATGAATGCCTGTGTAATCTATGTCATTATATAAACTATTGGTCAACCACTGGGTAGCACTTACTCTGAACTTTCTTTTTCTTGGGTCCAAATATAAGTGTTTTTACTCCCCCCCCCTCATTCAACACAATTTAGACCATTTAAGAAGTGCTGACGCTGCCTGTCTTATGGCCAATCCAAGTTAAGAGGGATACAACATCCCAGTAGAAAGACCGAGATGCTCTATTTAAAAAAATCATCCCCATTCGGGAACTGAACTCAGGTCTCTTGCATGTTACAGCAAAACATGTAGCCACTACACCACAGACGCTGGTCAGGCTTTAATTAAGATATTGAGATCTACAATATTGACAATACGGCATGCGAGGCTGTATGATTTCCTAAAGTATATAATCCGTCTCCATTACTGTCTCTTTCTTTCAGTCAGTCATATCCACTTTAATTTGTTTTCCACACCGTCCAAAATGAAACTGAGATTATTGCAATGAGTAACAATGTGTTCCAGCATTGTTTTATGGCAAAAAACTATGATCTACTAGAACTAGATCTACATAGTCATGAAGTCACAAAGAAATACCAACCAAACAACTTTTCCAACGAAAGAAAAAGCCAATATCTGACGGAGCAGCCATAATACTTTACTATAGCAAAGATCATAACTTTTCTTCATACAAAACATAGTACGCTGTAACCTCGATGACTGGGCATATTTAAATAATCTCTTCCATGAGGCATACAACCCTGTTCTACTAGGGAATGCAAATAGCAGCTGGAAATGCATCGACTTTTTGTAAGTTTGTTTATCTGTTCCCAGATTTATTGAAATTGAAAATTTACTGAGAAAATTTATAGCCAGTAGGAGATGTTAAATTGAAAACAGCCTACCAGGGTGGAAAAAACAAATTGGTTGGAGTCTAAATTGCAGGAACACTTACAGGTCTAAGCATATGATTTTTCCTTTCTAAGTTAGTAACCTCAACTTACATTCCATAATGATCTATATCGTATTGTTAAGGAGGTTAAACAATTTGTTCCTATTGCACTGATTCCTATTGCACTGATTCCTATTGCACTGTTGCAAGAAAAACAACTTAATCTATTTAGCCTTGCTCTACAGGGTCAATGAAAAAAAAACCCAACATAGGAGGTATTCATTTTCTGGTGAAAACGACAATTTACAATCAGTCACACATAGCACAATTTTGCAACTACTTCTACAGAAGAATATTAAGCATGCAAAAGTATATATATAAAAATATAAGAAGCGCGCATTCTGTTTACTAACAGAATAACACAACATGCATAAGACATACAGCAATAACGATTTAAAAAATCTTTATCAAACAGATCAGCATGTACAAGGTTTTTCTCTGCCCTTCACCTAGAACTGACATCATTGTTGAAGTTTATAAAGGAATCAGAGCTACATTACAATATGCTGGATAAGGTAAGATAGGACTAAATATATGACCAGATAACATCAGGAAAGATAGGATAGGATCAGAAATGACAGGATAAAACAAGATAAGATTACACCTCTGGCAACCAACAAACTTTGTCGGTAAAGACACATTTTTTAAAGGAATTTTTATATCCTTCAAAGCCACACAAATGCCAAACACACTGACCATTCCCATGCATTTTATGTCCTAAAATTTTACTTCTCTCTAACGTCATCTTTCAATATACAATTTGTAATTAGAACTATACCAGGGGAAATTTATAAAGTAATAAAAACAGTAAAAATGCTAAAGTCGAGCTGACTGCCCCAGAAATTGTCTACACACATCCTAAACTAACAACATCATTATGTATATGGCAGTCCCTGCCAACAGAGAATGTCAACAGAGAAGTCCTTACAGGGAATCATACTTACTCTGCTCACCTCTCTAGCTTCAACAGCACAAAGTCTGCTTCGACTATCAAGGCACCCCGGAAATAGTGGGTCACAAGAGTGTGACAAACATTTTAAAAAAGTAAAGGAAAATGACGATAGTAAGGATTAGGTAAGAAAAAGCAGCAGTTTCCTGTTGTAATTCAGGCACAGTTATGAGCATGACATTGTTGGATCAGCCCATTTACAATTCTGCTGTGCATTAGAACGAGAAATGTCCCCCCTTTGGGAATGGCCTAAAGACACTTCAGTCAGTGGCACCGCCCCGGGGCGGTTATATTTCTACACAAACCTGTTCAGCACTACAGGTCAAGGAGAGCACAGAGTAGTACAATTTTTTTTTCTTCTAGAATCTACATCCATATTCAATAAAAATATAAAATAATAGAATGGAATTCTTAGCTTTTTAAGACATTTTTTCAAGCTAAGTGAGTTTTATAACTGGGGGAAGAACACAACTCTTTCATGCCAATAAAGTACTAATACTTCATTAAAGTACTAATACTTCATTAAAGTACATGTTGTATATGATTTCCAAAAATGCTGCCAAGCCTCATCAAAACTTCAGGATTAGGACATTGATTAGAAACACAAACATGATATTCATTTTTTTTTCTGAAGCATCCACCTAACAACCAGTACATTGTGAAAGGCACTTAACAAGTATAAAAAAAGGTCATACAACATTTCCATACTTGCTCCAAATGCATTTGATCTCCATTTTAAGGGAATCCATGATACTCAATCCCCTGGAAAATCGGCTATTTGCAAAAAATTTGGACATTTGAGTATTTGGATATTTTAATTCTTACAGAAAAATATGTCAAGAATCCGTTCGTGAAGGTTCCCGGGCCTAAAGAGACCCCTAACATATATATTTAAATGTATTCGAAAGTGGTAGAGGGGGGAAAAAAAATTCAAACAAAACGTCAGGAAATGCTAAACTTTAGCCCTTGGCAACAATGCTTTCCGTGACTGCAAGGTAATCAAGTTTGCAAGTTTGGTATCTTTGGAAAGGCCGTGATAAGAACTATTCAATTATTGCACTTTCGTTTTCGTACGGAACTACACTGGGGACCCATTCAGGTATGTTTGAAGACACCGTACCAAATACTGGTCGCCCACTTCCGTCACGTGATCGGACTGTGAATTTTCATTCGCCGAGCCGGTAGCAACGACGGGGAATCCTCTTCGCGTGCCATTCTTTACACTGCGTGCCGCTTGACAGAACGTGAACATTTTCGCTGCATTTCAAAGATTTTCTATCATGTTGCCGATTTCAACCCTAATAAATCTTGTTTACAGGCTGAGTAATTACTGTTATCATCTCCATTTGCAATTTATTGTGGTATTTCGACCCGAAAGGGCCTACCAACACATGTTCTTTCTTATCTGTCTTCTCTCTTCTTTCTATCACCTGATCGTGATTCGATTCGATGTCTTAGTCTTAGCCGTTTTAAGCTAATCCAGATCTAACTTTTGAGATTGTAATAGCCTTCAGTACTTTCCATGATTATATGGCTGGGGTATTCAAAGTATACAGATCTCCGTTGCCCTCGATCAAAGTTATACAATCTAGGAGCGGGAGTGGGACTTGTCTTATACTTTTGATGGCTTCCTGAGCCTCTCTTACTCTCTGGTTGCACGCAGTGAACAAATCTGTTTAGTGTAGATCTAGCAATAGAAATCTCTAGAGCCTAGTGTTACTTCAAAATTTATTTTTAATTTATTATTATCGTTTGGGTATTTTTAGTCGGAGACCGGTGTATCCCAAAGCCGGTCACCCCTTCAAGCAAGATTGAAAGAAGCTACTGAGCAGAATATATAGGATAAATTGAGGCAATACAGATCTAGATAGTATCATGTAATGCCAGCTTACAGTGAGCCTTTCGTGGTTGCATAGTCTCAGATTCCACCATTGCAAAGCAAAAAAAGGGCAAAAACCAACACATTTGGGAAGAAAATGAAGGAGAGGTAGCAGCTTTTTATTTTTTTTTGGCTCAATAAAGTCTCGACTATTCTAAGAAAGGTAGTCACTGCCATACCATTTAAAAACTCTTCTTGTTGTAGAAAAGACTATCAACAAACTCAATTTATCTAAACAATTCAGTATGGCAGCATTAACACTCATAGACAGTTTTATGTCTCCGGTGGTGGAGACTAGAGGTAGTGACACTTTTACCTGAATTTTACTACTTTTTTCTTAGTGGGGATAGGGGTAGGTTAGAATCTGTGGTGGAAATCTTGTTTATATTGCTATTAGGTGGTTCTTCTTTGTAGAGAAGGCTGACAGTATTCTCAGTATTCATAATATGTGTGGTTTTGAACTATAAAAATGTATTTTGGCTCACTTTTGAGCATTTGAATTGGTTGGGTTTTTATTCGTTTTTCTCAAAATGCCTTTTTCCTACACACGTGTCCCACTATTTTGAGTAGTTCTCTGTAAGTTACTATCAGAATTGGCTGAAACATTGACACAATGTTCTGAAGATGTACATTTACCACCTTACAAAGAGATTTTTTACTTATATCTTTTAATTTTTCAATGAAGAGTTTCGTGTCCATACGTCCTGAAATGTCAAAGATTTTAATATAGCCAATTATAGCCCACTTTGAGGCTGAATATCTCAGGAAAGGACAACATAAATTGAATTCTGCTTTTGTAAGATGGTAGAGAATGCCCACATATATGTAACTATGCTAAATATCAGGCCTCCAACTTGAATGGTTGTTGAGATATACCTAAAATAAAGTTGCGAGTAAAATGCTGACTCTGCATTTTGTTTGTGGTGCCACATCGTGGAAAAATGTGAAAATGTTTATTTTAAGGTTCAGGGCACTTCGTTTCGACCAAACAAACATACCAATGCACACTAACTAGCTCAAAGACAAGTAAATAGCCAGATAATGTATACCATAGCCACCTCCCCTTAATGTTTTCGTTCACAAATGAAGGGCTTTGCAACTACACATAACATATAATATAAAACAAAGCGAAAAATGTAAACAAAAGTTAGATATATGTTTTACGACCTGAATAACTGGGTACAAAAACATTGAATCAATGCAGCATAATATCACTGTTCATAGTGCATCTTGAGGCAAAACATTGTCAAGTAGTAAAGAATGATGGTCCCATTAGCCATCAAAAGGGGAAAGAAAGAAGTATGGATAACAGAGGAAACCCAGTGAGTCACAAAGCCCTTCAAATATAAATGAGACTGGGTGCTGTGGCTGCCTTCACCAAGCTGGAAAAGAATCCCTAGTCCTGTTTAAGACGGGTCCATTCCTCACTGATCTCCCACAGTTTCTTCGCTGCCCCATCATCCTCAGCTTGACGAGCAGTTCGCTTCTCCCAACAGTCACTGTCACATAAAATAGAAAATAAGAAATCAGAAAACATGCAAAGGAAAAAATGTCATTTAACATGCAAGGGGGGGGGGGGGGGTGAGAGGAAGAAAGGAATCAATAGCACCCATCCCCAAGAGAAGTGAGATACAACTCTTATGTAAAAGAAACACTCCTGTAACAGGTTCAATGTTTATTTGTTTCTTTGAATAAAGAGAACCATCATGAAACGAAAACTGCCATGTACTAAAAGAGAAAAGCAAGGTAGAGAGATAGAAGCAATAGAGGGAAATGCCTTCCACCGCTTACCTGTAGCTAGTCAGGATTCAGACAGAGAAACTTAATAGAGTTTTTTAAAAGCAGAATATTTTCCCAGAGAATGGTTATGAAAATAATATAGAGCCTTACCACTCCAGATAAAATATCAAATACACTGTTCATATATTATATTGGTCTTAATTGATGCTTACATTTCGTTACAACAGCTCTAAGGGAAGGCCTGTGTTCTTCACTTTTTTCTATCCCATTCCCAAAACTGACCATCAGATAGGCGGTTAAGTGCAACCACTTCAAAACTTGTCTCCCTCAAAATGTCGAGTAACCATTTGAAGTTTGGTAAGCTGAGTAAAATAGGGTAAAAATATCTTCCAAAAAGACATCGCGATGAAATATGGAGCACCACAAACCATACCCTTCCTTTAAAAACAGAGCATCCAAAACTAAAACCACTTTGCTAAAGAAAAAAATATAGAAAACATTCTACTCCCCGAACAAAAAAGAAAAAAACCAACACAAGTTAAATCATTTTAGCGACAAACTCCTTTCTCCCCACCTGTCAGTCCCAACCCGGACTGAGTGGGAAATAGCATCCACGCACAAAGACAGAGGTACTCAACTTTTCTTCACAGCAAACAAAATCCCCTCTTCTGAGGGCAACAGGAAAGAACATAACCATTACATTATAGAAGCCAGTACCACTAAACTAGAATGCAGCACAGGTATTTAAACAACAAGTATTTACCTGAAGTACTTTCCAGTGACCTTTTCAAGACGGGGGTCCACAGCAAGGGTAATGGAGGTCTGTGCTCCCTGCATTGGCGTCTTCAGGAGGATATACTGGAAGGGGCCAGCAAACACTTTGAAGATGCTCGAGTTCCAAAAGGACAAGTGGCGAGTGAGTTCAGTAGAGACAGTACCAGGGTGTAGGGAGTTCACAGTCACGCCAGTCCCTGAACGTCGAAAGGAACAATGCTATCAGTAAACAATGGTACATAAACATTGTCTTCATTTTAACATATCTGGTCACATGTCTGAAAGTTCTCTTTTAACAGTACATCTCAGTCATAATGACAGTTCCAACTCTCATGCCAAAGTCCCTTAAGAATCATCCAACACTGATATTATCTAATCAGAGTAGTGCAGGGAAATACCAACTTCTACTAGCCTCACATACAATGTTAAACCCTTTGCTATTCTGAATAAACAAAACAATCTGATCAAAGGGAATAAATAAGAAGCTTGCACTGTGCCAGACAGAGCAACATGTTAAACTCTTTCCATGCCAGAGAATTTTCCAAGTTTGTGCCCCACCAGTGTGCTGCACATCGAATGTATTGTTATCAGTCTCACTTTCTTCCAGAAATCAAAATGCTCTTGTTTCCTACTAAAAGTCCAAAGAGATTTATCATTAACAATTAGCATTTCACAAATTTAAAGAACATGAAGAAGAAAGGAAACAAAAGACAGAATATTGCATAAACAATAGACTGAGGATTAGCACACTAAGCGTTAAAATGTACACAACAAAATCACTCACCAAAGTCAGGAAAACAAGCAAACGCATTTATGAAGAGCAAACAGACCTGTTTGTTCTTTTTTATTGAGACTGAGCTTATCATTTCATTGCTGAATAATGCCAGTCTGCCTAAAATCAAAGGCTACACCCTGAGAGCCGAGTGATCAGTTAAGAAATATGTAAATCTTAACCTCGTTTAACACTAGATATTTTTAGTCTACCCACAACAAAAACCTGATCATTTTGTATATTTTAAAAATAATTAAAAACTAATAAATATGTAAAACAGACTGAGAACCCAGAGTGCTGTACCTGTTCAAGATCTTTTGTCTAATTCTGACCTTCATATTTCAATTTTGACTTAAGATTTTTTTTTAAATTTTGATTCTAATTCCCATCCATGTTCCAGAAAAGATCAGAAGTTCATATCGCAAAGATTGAGCGACCAGGTCACACATACAGTCGTTTGCAATAGTAAAACACTTCAATCATTCCAGTCAATTGACTTGCAGCTAATTTTCAGTAAAAACGGCACATTTGTGATTGATTCGTACTTAGTTGTGTCCAAATTCTATAGCCAAACTAAAGGAAATTATCAAATCGGGTCCTGGTATATATATA